GATCTAGAAGAATCTTCCAACATTCTGTGCCTCTCACGTATGGTCATATAGATCAGTGAAGTTGTGCTACACTAACAAAAACCCTGACATCTCCACAGCCATAATTTAGAGTTACTTTTTCTTCCTACAAATCCAGCTGCAGGTTCGGACAACTTTGCAGAGCAGTTGCTGCCCTTGCAGTAACCCTTTATTCTACACTGCCACAGGCTTCACCTGCTATTTGTACCATCTGAAGCATGTGGCCTCACTGTGACATGTGGATAAAGAGGGTGTCTAGAGAATTGTGCATGGCTTCTTCACTGCCTCAACTCAGAACTGACCCATATAAGTCCCGCTCTCTTTACATTGGCCAAAAGCCCTGGTGGTAGGAGCAGAAGAGCAAAAGAGGGGCTGAGAAGTAAAATCTCCCACATTCTGAGAGCAAAGAGCTAGAGGTTGGTGAATGCCCATAATATTTACACACAGTTCCCAATTAGAGACAAAGACTTTGCTCTGAGAGCAAAAGGAAAGATGCTGCTATGAACATTTCACCAAAGAGAAAACGTGCTCAGAGAATTGACTAACACAGGCAGTGCCACCAAGCTGCTTAATGTCTAGAACAAGACTTGATTCTATGATGCATCTCCCTTATTCTAGTAATTAAGAGAATTCCACATTTCATATCAGAAAACCTGCACTTGAATCCTTATATTCCTTACATTAACCAACAACTAACTTTCTTATGCCTCTCACCTGGATTGAGTATTACAAACATCTCATATTTACCTTGGGGAAGTTAAAGGAGACATTCAAAGAGGAATTGTCCCATGTTTTTCCCCAAATAAGATCAAAATGGAAAATAAGTAGCCTTGAAAACTACAGACCCAAAATGCCAGCCTTGATCAGTCCTTGCCTTATCTGGCATCATCACTCTCTTGTCCTGTGGGTACTTTATAAGTCAAGTAAGGTGGGGATAGCCTGATTTGTGCTGGCATTTTTTATGTGTACTTTTTAAGGCTGATTATTTAGTTTTGTTTTTTTTTATTGAGTTTATTGGTACATTTTAGGTATACAGTACAGTTACATTCATCATTGAGATCTTGTACCTACATGACAGGTCTTGGTTCTCATTTTTTCCCCTTGTCCCTGCCCTCCCTTCACTCCCTCCTTCCCTCCCACTTTACAAGCACTTCATTTCCATTTTTTTCATTTTCTCATTTTTTTTTCTTTTGCCTTATTAGCTTTCCCCTACCCTTCACACTTTCCCTACACCTTTAGCCCCTTTCTTCCTATTTCACATTGTCAATTATTGCATTAGGATCTTATGTACTATTATAGTTTATTCACACCAGAGAAACTATTCGGTATTTACACATGTGTGACTTATTTATTTCACTTAGGAGTGTATCCTCAATATGTATCCATTTTCCTATGAATTACTCTAATTTCTCATTCTTTATGGCTGAGTAATATTCCATTTTATAGAAAAACCACATCTTTATCCAGTTTTCAACTGATGGGCAAATGGGCTGTTTCCAAGTTTTAGCTATTACAAACTGTGCCGCTATAAACATAAGTGTTATTACTTTGTAATTAAGTCTTATTTTCAGGGAAATGGGGTGTTTAGAGCAAAACAAACATTATATAAACCTTACTTATTCTTTGTGGAAGAAATTCAAACCTGGCTGGGCCAGGTATAGCACACTCCTGTCTTCTTCGAACAAATTCGAAGGCCTCTCTGAGACTGAACTAACTCGCCTAAGTGGGTAGACATGGGGTCTAACAGGCTACACCTCCGCCCCTAGTCCGTGACTCCTTCGCTTCACCCAAGAAAAATCACCCCACCATATGTCTAGCCAATAAGATAAATGCTCCTCCCATGCTCCTCCCCCATGGTTGGCCACACATAAGCTATATAAGTCTGTGCATTTCCTAAATAAAGCAGAAGCTTTCCAGAAACCTCCCCAGAGTCTGCCTGGTGATTCCGTGCCTTACCCTCCCAGTCCAAGCTCCTGAACCGAACTCCAAAGACAAAGCAGCTGACACAACAATTCTTTCCATTTAATGATATCAGTGTCTCAAACTGTTCAAAGACACTGTCATGTATTCTCATGTCCTACCTAAAGCCAGAACACTCTCCACACAGAAACTCTCAGTTCATGGTACAAATTATCCAAAGATAGTTAACTTTACCAGAATTCATCTTTGTGGATGTTCTGATCTCTTTGGGGATCAGGAAGGTGTTACACTTCCCCCACCACCTAGTGAAGGGCTTACAACTGAGTAGAAGCTCAAAGCACAGAGTTGGCAATGTTGGCTGAAGTCAGTGCATGGTATGTAATAAGGACTGAGTAAGTATTGTGCGCTACGGTTGCTATTATTTTTTCTCCTTTTGGTTGATGGAAGGAAGTAAGACTGGAAGAGCAGGAGGGCAAACGAATGGGGATGGAAAATCAATGCAGAAAAGTAAGGGGTATAGTTATTGATGTGAGGCATTCTTTGACCATGAGAATGCAAGGTAAGAAAATCAGTTGCAAAGGATGGGAGAACAGAAGCTTAGTCCTGTATTGAGTGGGGCAAGGGAAGTGCAAGGAGAGGAGTTCAAGGACTGTGACAAGAGTGCAGAGAGAGGGTTCAGGATTGTGTAGGACAGAAGGGTAATACTGTCCGTGAACCTCTCCTGTGCCTATGAACAGAGGCTATAGAAAGTTTAAAGCTCATCACCTGAGCCAAGGACCCAACCTCAAATTCACAAAATGGCCCGAATGATCCAGTACCAGTGGGCCAAGGGCTCCTTCAATCAAGCGACCTTGGCTGCTTGTCTCCATGGTAACAGCTCACATCCCAATCTGTTCCTTCCTGTGTGGGAAGAAACATTTCAGTAATGAGGGAAGGCAGCATTTAACAGTGTGATGACCCTTCTCCTTTGGCAAATTGTGTCCTTTTTCTGAAAACTGCAATCTCCTAAGGAAACTGTCCACATAAGGATGGTTCTGTGACTTTATTTGCAGGTGCATGCCCAGGACGTGTTTTTAAAAGTAGAAGCCCGAGGCTGCTTTTCCTTTAGTTTCACACAGCTCTGTGTTTCTCAGGGCCTGTTCACCATCCTTTCATCAACAGATCCCCCAACAGAGACACCAGCATGGTGTCCTCATGTTGAAAGAAAGAGGTCAGAGAGGTTGGGTATCTTCCCCAGAACTACAGAGCAGAGTTAGTCTAAAAAGCCAGACATAACAAAACCGGGTGTCTATTGGCCTCCATGTACAAACACCCTGCTCTTCTGTGGTCCACTCCAGCTGGAGCTACCATCCCAGGCAGTTACTGACACATGTCCCTGCAGCTCTAGACTCTGCCTCCCCTCTAGTCCAAGGATGCATGCTCTGCCCTGTGATCTTCTCCAGCCCAGAGCCCAGACTTAAGGTAAGGGCGTCAAGAAAGTTTGTATTCTGTGTGTAAACTTGGCATTTAAATTGCACTGTAAGTTCCACATTCTGCCTGCTCCCTGATGTCTAGAGTTAGAACAGAATCTTATAGGATGATAAATGACCTTTCTTCATCTGAGCCCTGGACGTGCATGCCTGACCATAAGCCCTCCAATCACAGCTCTGAATGTATCACAGGGTCCCCTTTCCAACCAAGACTGTGAGCCAAGACTGCTCATTCCTTGGCCCAACTTCAGCTCTTCCCAATAGTTTTGATCCCATGATTCTATCCACAAAAGAAATAATTTTCTCTGCAGCATCCCTGCCTGACTCTGACGTACAAAGGTGTAATTAGAACAGCATGGAGCAAGCAGGAGGGTCCATTTACCTCATCCCTTCACTTTTAAGAGCTTTGAAAATATGTTTCTAATATCTTAGGTGCATGGGGCCAAATTCCCTTCTCGGGTTTTCACATGCATGAGTAAATCCACACAGACTAAACCCCTTGGGCCTTAGGTTCTGCTTAGAAGTTTTTTGTTTTTTTTTTTTTAAGAAAACAAATATTCCATTAAAACAACATAGTGTACTCTGCATATTTTTAGGACAATTAGAGTTTAGAATTCCCTCTTCTTCCGCCCATGGTAAGAAAAAGTTTTTCTTAACTATTTCCTTACCAAGAATGACACTAAACTGGGATAGATTACAAGCTTTCTAATCTCCTAAAATCATCTCATCTGACATCATCCAAGTATCAACTGGTGAGTTAGTTTCTGGATATTTTGGGAAAAGTTCTGGGTTCCCTTGTTCCACTGCCAGGTGAATCTTTTAGGTAGACAAGTATTTGAGAGCCTAATGGGAATATTTTCTGGAAATATAAACACCAAGCTCACAGGAAACATAAAAGTAAGAAGACTTTCAACCATCTGCTTGATTCAAAAAATGGGTCAGGGTTTGGGTAATTTTTCTTTAGCATTTGAACCATGTAAAAATCACAAAGGAGAGGCTGCAGCTTTTTGGCCACACTCCAGCCTGTGTGCAAGAGCTACAGCAAGGCCAAGGCAAAGGAACCTAGACATCAGTCTCCATTGGGAGAAGACTCAGAGAGAGGGAGTCATCCCGCCTCCTGGACTCTGTGCCTCACTGCGTTCATAAGTTTGTGTGGTTGTATATACAGCAACACCCTGCCCTTCAGCCTGTGCTGGGCCACACATGTGGACAACATCTGCCAAGTCAGCATGCAAATCAAATATTTGCTTGCAACCCAAATTGGAGCAACATCTTAACAATGCTTGCCAAGTTACTACACATTTGAGTCCAAAAGCTCCAAAGCCTTTAGAGACGCTGCTGTAGAGCCATCCTGGGCTTGTTCTCCATTCATTGCAAAGCAGGTTGAAGTCTATCAAAGGATGGAAAAGGCATGCCTGGCTCACTCCATGACTCTGGCAATAGTAAGATACATCTTCTGTAGAGTCTGCCTTGGAAAGAGGAGCACAGTCCAGAGATGGCTCGGAGCATATGTCTGTGATGTCTTCAAAATGAGGAATTGTACTGAAGAATGAAAGAAAGAGCTCAAGACTTCCCATGGAAAATATGTCTGTTTGTTTGCTTGTTTATTTAAATTAAAAAGATTGTGAAAATGACAAACCATTAAATACAAGACAATTCTATACAACTCAATAGAATAAGAAAGAAGTATATACATCACTTTTAACAGGCGCAGACAGACTTGCACCAAACTTCAGGATTAAGCAATGGAAAATGTGACACTGTACATGTCCGTCGCAGTAAAGTTTTAGAATTCAAGTGATTCCAGGCAAGAGGCCAAACTTAACTTGGCTTCTTTCGATTTAAACATCCCCCTTTGGAGTTAATCTACACTCTGAATTTTAAAATGAATTTTAACCCTGTTCCCCCAAACATAAATTTCCTCTAGCTGTATGTCAAAGCAAACTGATAAACTAGTTCCGATGCTGTTAACCTTTCCATGGGGACTAAAGTCACTGCTATCTCTAACTCAGGGAGAGTATGCTTTAAAAAATAAAAACAAAAAGGGTTTTTTCTTTCCCCTACAACTAAATTTGATCTTTTGCTGTGTCTGGTCTTCCAGGGCTAAAAGTTTCTGCTATAAGGCTACTGATCACAAGAATATGGTACATGCAGACACTGGCAAGTAGTTGTGAGATTTCTTTTAAATTTCTCTTTCTCTTGGCTGGGAGAGTTAACAGCCAACCATGCAGAGAACTTTGCAGACCAAAATGTGGTACAGTATCTGCCTCTTTGGTTCAGTCCGGGAAAAACTATAGCAGGGATGGTTTGGGATTAGCCCTGAATTCCCTAGTCACATGTATTCTGAGTCTCCAACTGCTCCTTTAAATCAACAGCTTCTTTTTACAGACTAACTAGCCAAAGGGGAAATATTTGGTCCAAGCTTCTTCACACCAGGCCATGGAGGACTTACCACAGACTCTAAAGTTGAAAGACATCCTCCCAGCCCCCTGGGGTTACACATCCTCCTGAGCCCCATGAAGCCAATAAGCCTCTTGATGACATGCCCAGGACCACACAGCAAATGAGTGTCAAGGCTCTGGATTAGGAAGCGCAGAACTTGGACCCAAGCTTCAATGTGCCCTTCTAGGACTAAGCTATGTAACAAAATACCACATTGTGAGGCTCTGTAGTATATTTCTCCCAGCTCAGAAAACTAGGCTGGGAAAATGAGCAACAGCAGAGCGAATGGCATGGCCTTGTTCAACTCTGTCATTCTCACCACTTCTGGAAAGATCCCAAAGAGCCCTCTGCATGGCCATGAAGAGTATAGACTCTAGGGAAGTTCTCTGACCACAAGAAAGTCATGCCAGCATGCTGGACAGTCACAAGTCACAATACCAGTTCATCTCTTGTAACCCCAGCTAATGATGTTAACAAGTTTAAAAGTTCCTTTTATTTTCCCCCTTACATTGATCAAACAGGCTGGGTTTAGATTTCTAGCTTTCTCCTATCAATAAAAAAAATTCCTTCAAGTTTTCCCCCTCTAATCTAAGACTTCCAAAAGCAGCCCGTAACCCTCTGTGATCTAACACCACAAGTGCACAGTAGAAATACTTACAGCCAATCAGATCTAGAAGAACAAAGCTCTAGGCAATTAGCAAATCAAAACTAGTCCCTCAGCCCACCCGAGGCATTTGGTGGCCCTGGGACAAGAAAGATGGTGCAGAAATTACCCAGGGCATCCAGTGAGAAAATGACAATCACATCATTCTGCCAAATTCTGGGCAGGAACCCCACACTCGGACCCCAAAGCAAATGCACACACTGCACGTCTTCAGGGCTTTTTCAGTGCCAGTCAAAACCATAGGCAGGGACAGCGAGGCCTCCAGATGAGCCTGTCCCCAAACGTACCCCATGTCAGAGGCTCACGGTGGAGTCTTTTCAAAGTGACAGCTGCACTGAAAAAAAAAAAAAACAGACACTTGAAAAATGTCTTTCCTCTCTCTGAGGGTGCTGCTTGAGGAGCCACCTTGAGGGGCCCCGGGGGTGCTAGGAACTCTGGTGGATGTTCTCCGAGGACCCCTCGCTGCTTTCGTTGAGAGGCGTCTCCGAAGTCTCCTCCAGCTCGTCGTCCGCCCCCTCCTCCTGGATGGTGAAGTGCACATCCGGTGAGGAGGACTCGGAGCTCACGCTGTCCCCCTCCATGGAGCAGAGCGTGCAGGCCAGGGCGGGCGCCATGCTCTCCTGCAGCATGTTAAGCATCATGGGCACCTGCACCGACCTAAGGCCGGACACCACCGGCAGCGGCTTCATGGCCTCCCCCCAGAGCCTCTCCTCGTCTTTGTACAGCAGCAGGAGGCTGGACTTCTTCTCCCGCCTCTTGGATTTCATGTATCCCAGCATGATTCCAATCAAGAAAATGCCGTAGAAGGACATGACAACCAGGACGTAGAAATACTCATTGCCTTTGCCGCTGCCACTGCCGAGCACATGGGACTGGAGGGGCCTGCTGGAGGCAGCTGTGCTGGGGTGCGTGCTGTTCAGCGGCTCCATCTTCAGCCCCGAAGGTTGCCAGAACAAGAAGGGTCTGGGGAGAAAGCTGCAGGTCAGAGCTCTCCCGGTGCAGGGTGGCAGAGGAGTGTGAGCGCGGGGTTTCTGGGGTTGCACTATTAAAAGGGAAAGAAGTAGCGGCAAGAAGTCCCACCAAACAGTTAACAGGGTTTAGCTCTGCGAGCTTGGAGAGCCTGGAGGAGAAAAGGGAGGGGCCCCGGGAAGGTAAGAAGAACTTTCACTTTTTAGCTTCTCGGTATTAAATACACATCTGTCTTATTTGTATTTCATAAAATGAGCATGCATTATTTTTATACTTTAAATTTTTGTCAGTAGAATACAGGGAGGCATAGAGAAAATAAATATCTTTAAAATTGAGAGACACTTTGACAGTAGAAACCGTTCACATTTTGCTTCTAAAACAAACGTTTTTAATTCAAAGCAAATTTTTCCCTAGGACAAAAAAAAAAAAAAAACAAATAAAAAAAAAAAAAAAAAGTTGATCAGGATGTACTCAGA